CGCCTACCTCTCTATTTAAATATATATATATATATATATATATATATATATATATACTCATTTCCTCTGTGCTGCGCTGATGAGTCCACAAAGGACGAAACAGTTCTGTCCGCAGATTGAGTATATATATATATATATATATATGTGGAAGAGAAAAGGACATATGGATACGAGTTAAGAGTAACTCTCCATCACTGTAACATGATACTATATACAGTCAGAAAGTGCAATAACTAGGCACAAAACTGACAGAGTACTGAAACATTCGACGTCCTGACACCTAGCTTCAACACATCTCCGTAGCGCTAACCGACAGCCTTCCAACTTGGAAGGTTCAAGGTTATGGAAAAGACCAAAGAGGGGAAGGCAAGCGCAACGAAAACGAGCAAAAGCTACAGTCCCAACGGAACAAAGAATGTCGATTGTTACTGGACGATGACGAGACCAGTACGATATTTGACAAAGCGGTCTAACTACAATTCGAAGCAGCAAAGCAGCACACCACCCAACTTGGGTGGGTCATAAATATCAAAGATAAGTAAAGAAAGGGAAGCTTTGCGAAAACGAATTGTACAAGCCGAAAGCCAAACTCCTACAGTACTCCTCATGCATGACATTGTGATGGACTAGTTGACTACAAAACAAGTTGTTTCACACGACCCCTCTTTGGTCTTTTCCATAACCTTGAACCTTCCAAGTTGGAAGGCTGTCGGTTAGCGCTACGGAGATGTGTTGAAGCTAGGTGTCAGGACGTCGAATGTTTCAGTACTCTGTCAGTTTTGTGCCTAGTTATTGCACTTTCTGACTGTATATAGTATCATGTTACAGTGATGGAGAGTTACTCTTAACTCGTATCCATATGTCCTTTTCTCTTCCACATTTATTTATGGCTCAACATCCGAGTTTCAAATTGCACACCTGATGAGCCGTCACGAACCATACGGCGAAACGTACGTCGTGTGAAACAACTTGTTTTGTAGTCAACTAGTCCATCACAATGTCATGCATGAGGAGTACTGTAGGAGTTTGGCTTTCGGCTTGTACAATTCGTTTTCGCAAAGCTTCCCTTTCTTTACTTATCTTTGATATTTATGACCCACCCAAGTTGGGTGGTGTGCTGCTTTGCTGCTTCGAATTGTAGTTAGACCGCTTTGTCAAATATCGTACTGGTCTCGTCATCGTCCAGTAACAATCGACATTCTTTGTTCCGTTGGGACTGTAGCTTTTGCTCGTTTTCGTTGCGCTTGCCTTCCCCTCTTTGGTCTTTTCCATAACCTTGAACCTTCCAAGTTGGAAGGCTGTCGGTTAGCGCTACGGAGATGTGTTGAAGCTAGGTGTCAGGACGTCGAATGTTTCAGTACTCTGTCAGTTTTGTGCCTAGTTATTGCACTTTCTGACTGTATATAGTATCATGTTACAGTGATGGAGAGTTACTCTTAACTCGTATCCATATGTCCTTTTCTCTTCCACATTTATTTATGGCTCAACATCCGAGTTTCAAATATATATATATATATATATTTTTTTTTACCTGCCAAGCCTCTTATACGGGCAAAATAAACACAATTACGAGTGCAACCTCAACAGCACCGGAAGAAAAACGAGCAAAAAATGGCTGTGAAGACAGTCGAGAGAGCAAAAAATTAATGGCTGTGAAAACAGTCGAGAGAGCAAAAAAAGGCTGAGAGCAAAAATGGCTGTGAAAACAGTCTAGTACGGAGCCTCGGGAGGGAGCTTTAACCGATGCTGCTCATGGCAACCGCAAATCGGGCCGAGTCATTTGCATCTGAGGGCACGCGGTGCCGATGGCCTCGCAGACTGGCAACAGCCGCACGGATGAGGGCAAAGCTGCCCCCCCCCCCCATATATTGACCACTTAGGCTGCGTTCGTTTTTAGCTACCTGGTAGAGTAGAGTAGAGTCACTCTACCGATAGAGGTAGATGGTAGAGGCAAGTGTACGAACGCTGTTCTACCGGATCTAGTAGTTTACACGATGTGTACGTGAAATGTTTCTTATTTGTATGGAGTTGTGTACAAATCCTTGATCTTGCTGGAAATCCCGTAGCTCTACCAACTTCTACCGGATTCTACCAACTTTTTCCCGGTAGAGCCGGTAGAGGAAAGTAGAATCTACCCTTTTGAGTAGAATTTTTTTTCAAAAAACGAACACCTCTACCGAAAGAAGTAGTTTCTACCCAAACCTGTAGATCAAAAACGAACGCCCCCTTATTATTGACCACTTAGCCCGATGACTTCGAACTTTTTCCTCAACTAACTTAGAAAAAAATCTGAACTGAAAGAAGAAAAATCTGAAGCCAAATGCTGGGATTTGAACCCAAACTGTCAGATTCTCAGTCAAAGAACTTGGGGAACATACTACAAGAGACAACTGAAAACTTTGGTTTACACAGAAGTAATGTCCAATGTAAACGGCATATGTACATACCATTATACTATTACAATAGTATTCCTTTTTTCCTATAGCAAAGCAAAAACAGTTTTAGGTATGCTATGTCGTGATAAATCTATTATTGCCCTCATAATCGGTCAATATATGAAATATAGACCTCGTAAAAGACCTCGGGGGACCTCGGTCTTTTACTCGTTCTATATTTCATATATTGACCTCTTTAATCGTGCAATAATAGATACATACAATACAATAACACAAAAAATAATGTCGTTACCTTGATAGTGTGCTTGTGCTTAAAGGGGCACTCCGGCTTCATTTTCGACACCGAGTTTTCGATGGCAAGACGAAGGTAGGTGAAAGAGAAGACCCCTCGAACAAGAACGAGTCTCCAGTCTTCTATACCTGGAAGGGTATAGAAGACGGGATCGCTCACAACGTTGGGAGAACATAGAAAACAACCTCCTCTTCGATTGAAAATTGGCCAAAAAGTATGTGAAATGTATGTGCGTAGGTGCATTTCCACCGGCAAGCTAATCCCTCATTACGTCATCAGCGCTCGCTCGGCGAAATTCAAAAGTCGTCTTCCCGCTCGACTCGATCGCTTCTGGAGACTCGTTCTTGTTCGAGGGGTCTTCTCTTTCACCTACCTTCGTCTTGCCATCGAAAACTCGGCGTCGAAAATGAAGCCGGAGTGCCCCTTTAACTGCTGCTGACGACCGAATGCATGGTTGCCTGTGGAGCACATTACATAACTTTACAGTCTCCTAAAATACGTATCCTGTCCGACGGCAAAAGAGGCTGCAAATTTAGCTTTTCTGCGCGTCGACGGGATGTCTGTCCTGACGTTTCCTGGGACCGGCGCTGACTCTGCCGATCACGGACCTTCTGGAGTCGACGGGATGTCTGTCCTGACGTTTCCTGGGACCGGTGCTGATTCTGCCAATCACGTGCGTTCTGGACTCGACGGGATGTCTGTCCTGACGTTTTCTGGGACCGGCGCTGACTCTGCTGATCACGGGCGTTCTGGAGTCGACGGGATCTCTCTTCTGACATTTCCTGTGACCGGCGCTGAATCGCCCGTTCACGCTTATTTTGGAGTCGACGGGATGTCTGTCCTGACGTTTCCTGGGACCGGCGCTGACTCTGCCGATCACGGGCGTTCTGGAGTCGATGGGATTTCTCTTCCGACGTTTCCTGTGACCGGCGCTGAATCGCCCGTTCACGCTTATTTTGGAGACGACGGGATCTCTCTTCCAAAGTATGTTTTTGCTGACGCATCCTATCACATATTCGGCAACTAACGTCCATTCTAATTTCATTTCCTCCTCGTCTCCCTATTTCTTTCCAAATCTCTGTCTACATCAGGGAGTCGTATACATAATACGACGAATATTGTGGCCAGCTGTTTGTACGGGACTGTAAGGGACAGATACGGGAGCCAGCAAATATTGTGGCCAGCTGCTATGTACAATCCTGTAGAGCCTTTGTAGTCACAGATACGGGACAGATACGGGATAGCTCCAGACGTGACACAAACACACAAACAAATACCAAATTAAAGCTGTGTGGACCCTGGCTAGCGCCAGATGTTACTGAAGTAACGTCTTCTGCATAGCTACGGGAATTAAACTGCCTCTTTGTTTTTGTTATAATTTTGCCCCGGGAAAAATTCTTGGGGGCGATTGCGGTGTACGTAGATGTGATAAGGCACATGCGCGCCTGGGTTCGTGGGCTGTTTTGCATGCTTGCTGTACTGGGCTAGACGTCCGAGAATGTGAGCTCTCTTTCCTTGTCCTTCAGTTCCTTCATTATTAGAATACCCATACGAGCCTGTGTAATGCTGTGTGTGGGCCCTAAGGGCCAGACCTAACAGGTCCTCTGCAAAATCTGTTTCTTGCAGGTTCCGTTGATTGTTGCACAGTTTTGCAGGGCTCCCGACTGGTGGTAACACTCCTGGCCTACTCATAATACGTTCAACGGCTGTGGCGCGAATACTTTGTGTTTTGATTGTCGCATTTTATGTTGCTTTACATTTAATTTCCCACATCTTTCTGTCTTCTTTTTCTGTCTTCTTTTTCTGTTTTTTATACACTCCAATTTTGTTTGCTTCCATCCACAGGAGTGGATGTCTTTTTTTTAGGTAGGGGATAGCATTGCACATGTGGCTGCGCTTGTAGCTCTTCGTTGTACATGCGTCTGCGCGTGTAGCTCCTTGTCCTACATGCTGCTGTGTTTGTGTATTTTTCTTGTACATGCTGCTGAACCCTGGTTCACGCTGCTGCACTGTCTTTGATTCCTGCGAACATGCAGCTGCACCGTCTTCTGTCCCCTTTGTATACACACTTTCTCGTCACAATATATTCTGTTGTCTCGTCTTGCCTCGGTGTCAGTTGTCAGTTATCAGTTGGCTCGTCGCTTCATCAGAATACGAACAGAAATCTCTCTCTGTCACTTAGAATAACCTGATCGTTTGCTGTGTGGCATGGCGCGATCGCGCCTGAGGAGAAATTCGTCGGCAGTCTTAGACGACAGTGTGGCTGCGCAAAGGAGTAAGAAACTAAGAATGAGAGTGAAAAAATAACTTACACGCCCACTGGACAATCATCGGGTGGCGGGAGACGAATGTTTTGCTTGAGCAACTCCAGCATCTCATGGTTAGCTACACCCGAGTAGGGTGTGATGCCAAGGGAGAAGATCTCCCACATCACTACACCGAATGCCCACTGGACACACGTGGACAGACATGAGTGGGGTACACACATGCAGAGACACAGGCATATGCACATGCATGCACGCACACACACACACACACACACACACACACACACACACACACACACACACACACACACACACACACACATACACACACACACACACAGGCATGCACGCATATGCACACACACACGCACACCCACACACACGCACACCCCCCCCCCCCCACACACACACCCACACACACACCCACCCACCCACCCACCCACCCACACACACACACACACACACACACACACACACACACACACACACACGCGCATACACACATACACACACACGAAACACACACACACACACACTTTTACTTGTACTTGTTGCTCACTGCCAGAACTGGTCACGTGAGTCCCCCCGGGACAGGGGAGAGAGACGCAAAAGGAATCTTGGAAGGATGACTCAATTGGTTATTGAACCGCCCAATGGCCGACACCCCCTGAAATCCCCAAAACTCTGGATGGACTTCAAAATGATCCCACTTATGGGCTCACCACACCTCAGTAAGTGGGTGAGGAAAAGGTGCAGGAAAAGGATTGACGGTATCAGGGTATCCGTCCCGGGATCCAACTGCAGTTACCCCTGCCCCCAGTGAAGGTAATACTTGCTACTAGTGTGAGTGGCTAAATCAGATTGGATCTGATAAAGGCTTCACTAGCACCATTGATTACACAAGAGTTAATCTAGGCAGAAGCAGTCCATGGTTAACAGGTATGTATACTTCAAATAGAAAGTATATGAACCCTGAAACCAACAAAGGTGGTAGGTACCACATTCCACCTTCAAGCAGCCGAGCCTGTTGGCAACAGACCCAACACAATCAAGCATAAGTGTACCCACCAACCGAACTAGCTGGCACACACACACGCACCCATGCACACACACGCATAGATACCGTATTTCCCAGATTAAAAGTCGCACCCCCATTTTCAGGTTTGAGCAATACTGATTTGATATATTGACTTCAGTAGTAAGTCACGCTCGATTGTAAGTCGCAACCCCTTTTTTACCCTTGAATTTTAGTGTAAAAAGGTGCGACTTATATTCAGGGAAATTCGGTACATAAATTCGCATACACATACATACACACATGGACACATACAATACAATACAATATTGCCCATCCGGAGATGATGGAAGGTCCTGAAAGAACCAACAGTGTTTCAGTCACGCGGAACAGAACTTCGAGTGGCGAGTGAGGTCCTGGCGACGGCGAAAATCTCGGCCGCAGTGGCACCTGAAATTGGCAGTCCGGTCGCCAACAAGCTTACGGCCGATTTTGTACAAGACTGGGATACCGGCACATTTGCAAGTAGAACGCCATGCATCCATTACCACGGCAAAATGCAGGTTCAACAACACGGGCGCAAGGGTGCAACCTTGCCTCAAACCATTGTTGACTGGAAAAGAATCCGAAGAAGCTGTAGACACTCGCACGGCTGCCGACATTCCCTCATGCAGGGACTGTATGACCTTCAGCATTTTCCGGGGCACACCAAGTTTGCTTAGTATTGACCAGAGAGACGTTCGGGGGATGGAATCGTATGCCTTACGAAGGTCTACGAACAGAACACACAACTGATTATCGTGCTCAACGGACTTCTCGATGAGCTGGCGGGCTACAAACACCATGTCGTTGCAACCTCTCCCTTTGCGGAAGCCACATTGGGAGTCTGGTAGCACATCCTCGGCAATCATCGGCAATCATCTGCACTCTATCCTGTATCACACAGGCAAATAGTTTGCCAACAATGTCCAGCAAGCTGCTGCCGCGCCAGTTGTCACAAAGTCTGAGTCCACTTTTTGCACAAGTGGACAAACACACACATACACACACCTTCTTTTTCTTCTTCTTCTGACGCCCATCGGCAGAGGCGATGATAGCGGTGCTGCAGCAGAAGCCATAGCAACTTGTGCTGGGATTGCACCATTCAACAGCTTGCAAGGCTGAAGAATTGACCACCAACATTCAGCCTGGTCTACTCCACACAGCTTTGAAGTGGCTTTTTCTGGCCAGTGAATCCCTACTTTTTGGGGTTTTTTTTCCCGCACACAGATCACACCACATACAATGGCATGCACTGGCTGCTAATAACTACCCAGGAGAATGAAAGAAAAGCTAGGAGAATGAGAAAGAGAAGAAAGACGTGTGAGACCATGATAGTCGGGAATCGAACCCGCGACCTCTCGATTGGAAATCGCTGCACATAACAGTGCACCATATGGGCCTCCCCCCCCCCACACACACACACTCATCCCCCCCCCCCCCACACACACACACAACACACTCACCACATCAGACTGTACTGTGAAGATTTCCTCTTTCAGGCTCTCAAACGACATCCACTTGACCGGCAGCGGACGACTAGATCCTATTCTGTAGTAGCTGTCTTTCTCAATTTCACGCGCCAATCCAAAATCACCGACCTTCACCACCATATCTTTGTTCAACCTGCAGAAATACAGACACCAGTATAAGGATGATTAAATGCATGATAATTTAGAGCCCCCACACGAGAAAAGGGTCACAATGGCTTCAGGGGTCAATTTTGAGATTTTACTCGGATGTGATTCCTTGATTATCACAGAATATGATGCAAAAAACCGGACTGAAAAATATGCATCCGTTGCGGATTTACAGCGATTTCCGTACCGGTAGGTATATACGATTTTCGTGGTGCACGAGGATGAAAATACGGGAATGTTCGAATACATCGTATGAGTGTTGTTTATGAATGAGCATGGCAATGTTATCAACTTAGTATCAACTTAGCATGGAAACGAATACAGGGACACTTGATGATGACTAGTTCTTTCTACAAAGGTAAAAGAAGCTACTTATTGTGTGGTGGATGCACACGTGATACAGCATACGGACATTTAGCTCATGAAAAAAGAAAAAAATATGTCAGAAAGAGATAATGGGCATGACAATCAGGCATCTGCGTCCTGGATCTCAGCAGCAGCAGCAACAGCAGGTTGAGGGCATAGTCCATCCTGAAACTCGGGGGGAACATGCTGGCGGATGTGCTTGAACAGGTACTGTTGGCGCTCAATTGACATTCCTGCACACGGCAACACATCAGGCAGTCCAGCCCCACGAATTTCCTCGACAGACGACTTCAATAGGGAGACCTTGACTTGCTCAGACTCACTGTGCACTTTCGTAAGCACAACACCAGGATCAGCAGATGAGAACTCGAGATGGTGCAGCTTTGAAATGCCAGGCAGGGGTTTAAAGTGCCGACTGATAAAGGCATCCCACGAATACCACGGAACACTGTCATCGATCAACTGCGCAACGTTGACGGTGGCACTCTCATTGACAGTAGTGGCGAGCTGTGCCATGGAGTAGCAGTCACTCCGGCGGAATCTTTGCTTGAGCAGGCCAAAGCAGCCATCCACTAAACACCGCGTGTGGCCAGCCAGCATGAAGCTATACGTGATGCGGCAATGCAGGCCCACAATGCATCGCCATGCCAAATAGCCGACAATAGTCCTGTTCTTATTCTGTCCACCGCAGTTATCAGCAGTCAGCACACAGCTTTTCTCATCATAGCCGTACGTCTCAAAGTAGTGGTGAAGCAGCGAGCCAACAGTATTGGGGCCATGGCCCTTCTTGCCATCTGCACCAATGGTGTCACATTCGTCAAGCAAATAGTTGACTTGACGTGGGACGGCTTCATTATTTACACCAAATATATGAGCTTTACGTGGAACTTTAAAATACAGGGGACCTACTTGACGAGTATTGTGAGGGAGAGCAACACTTTGAGCAAAATCAAAAGTGTAATGAATAGAATGGAGGTCATTGCTACAAGGGAGGCATGGCGGGGAAATTGGTACATGGCATGCATCTAGCTCAGACTTTGCAGCAACTGTGGCTTCTTTGTACACATCTCGTTCCTTCTGTGCCTCACCTACATGTGACGAGAGCTGAGCGCATGCCTCTAGCTTGGCGTCTTCTCCTAGCGCACTGACCACACCCCTCCGGAACTGCTCACACCTGTCGCAGACATCTGTCCGGGGCGTCATAAACCGGATGTGCGGCATACACTGCGACCAAATCTCACGGTAGCTGGTTAGCCCGACAGGCTTCGCATGAGCCTCACCAGATGCCTGCAGGTACTCTTGGTGGGTGCTGGTGTACGACATGCGTGCTGGAAGATACACCGGCGGCCGCGCACTTCGTCCATGTAGAGGCGCAGGATGAGGGATGCCAAACTGCTCACTGAGGGATTTGATGAACTTCACCACTCCTTCTACCTGCTCGAAGCGCAAGGCATGCACTGGCCTTCTCCCCGTGTTCCCATGCTGTCTGGGCACTGGTCCGTGCTCCTTTATGTGGCCGATAGGGTTGCGGAGGCGTTTTGTTCCCACTCCGTAAATGGTACGGAACGCTTTCACGCACACATGCCGTCCAAGGTAAGTGTAGCCGAACGCAACATACTTCCGCTTCTTCTGCTTGGTGGTTGTGTCCTGGTTGAATTTGGATGACTCCAGGATGCCAATCAACAGCAGGTCTGCATCTCCTTTTTCCATCTCTGCCATTGCCATCTGGGTTTGTTCCACTTGTGCATTCGCAAATTTCGAAAGACAATTCTCGGAGCAGCCACACACATTGCCAGGATTTTCAGCAGCAGTAGCAGCCTCAACATCTTCATGTGCATCAGTGCCTTCCTCATCAACAGCCTCTGTTGCGTCCTCCGCCATTGCCTCATCTACATCGTCAGCGGCCAAAGCGTTGAATTGCGCAGCAGCACGAGCTACGTCCAGTTGATCATCCAAGAAGTGATCAGGGATGCCTTCGCTCTCCTCGTCATCAGAAGAAACAACATTCTCCGTGGCAGGGGCGCTAGCGTGCGCCTGTTCGCCTTCTCGTCCACAGAATTCGTCTTCAGCTTCAGCGAGGACAGCGGCAAGCGCCTCATCAGTCGTAAAATAAATTGGACGGCTCATTGTTCGTCAACAACAGGCAAACAACAAGTCGACGTCAAGAAACAGCTGACAGCGCTCGCGAACCACGCCACGTCAAAAAATCAAACTTCTTCCTCAACTACAAACAACAATAAAACAGAGATCCCTTGACGGATTTTGCTCAAATAAACTGCTGCGTGAAGCTGTCACCAAGGCGCATGCGCAAACGGTGACGTAAAATCGATGTTGTGCAACAGCTCCGCGTAGGAACACAAAAACGATGACGCACTCTCAAAAAACGGGATTTTCCCCACTTCAAACTTTGTACGCGATTTTCTCCAAAGTGTCACGGAAGCCAAAGTGACCGTCAATTTACTAAAGCGCAAAAGGGATCTCCCATGCATTTACACAAACATGCATGTGAGTGCACAAACACGCATGCTTTTACTTATGAGGGCACACACACACACACACACACACACACACACTAATTGATACCGGTACACATATGCATACTTATCTGCATATTATGTAGGGGCATACATAACTTAAGTACGTGCATAGGTACACACACGTAAATACACACAGAAACATATACATGTTCCGCGCGATCTGAAAATCTGCGCAATCTGAGATTTCCCAGATTGCCTACAAAGAGATGGAGACAGACAGACAGATATAGACAGAGGAAGAGAAGACAGAGGCAGAGAAATGGGGTAACTCCTATAGAGCTGACGTGACGGCCCCACTTGGATTCGCTGTGCACTCCATGCACAAAATCTCCAGACTGCATGATACATACTTACGCGTGGTGTGTGTTTCCAGAAGTCTCAGGAACACAAATTCTCCATGATTGACTTCGTGTCTATAAATATCAGAATTCCAAGAATGCGCAAGCAATCTGGAATTCTCAGATTGCGCAAGTCCACAGAATGCGCGGAACATACACATTCCAAACACATATTGCCATGTGACATCACACTCACCAATCACAACTTACATGCAATTCCTAGCAGCCAGATCACGATGCACGAAGTTCTTACTAGACAGGTAGTCCATACCCTGTGCTACCTGAGTGCAGAAGCTGAGCAAAACCTTGGTACTCGACTGCAGCAGAATACACACATCCAAACCAAATCACAACAGAGACTGAATGAGCATGCACGTAAATATTTACACCCTCAAGAATTTAGTGGTCTTAACCGGCGGGTTAACGGGTACCCTTTAGCAGCAATGTTTAAAGGGGAAGTCCGGTGAAAATTTAAATTTCAGCGTCCGTAGAGTTTCGGGCGCTGAGTCTAATGGTGTTGGTCTCACATGTCTCCGGCAAAGCGTTTTCGTGATATTTCCGTTTGAAAAACTTAGTTTCGGGGGCTGCTCCATTACGTAATGCGGCCGCGCCACACCATCCGCAACGTCATAGTGTGCAGCTAGGTCAAAAGGAGTGCGTGAAAGCAATAGTGTCAATGCTATTTCAAATTATTTGGCGACAGATAGTAGGTGGTGTGAGCGACCCTGAAGACGGAACTCCATGCGAGAGTGAGGATGCAGCCATGGCTGACTTTCATAGGTTCGGTCTTAGGCTGAGAACCTAGGTATTCAGCTGAAGAAATGGCCGCTCGGGCCGGTCAAGAGTGAGCGCTGCTGCGTTTCCGACTGATGAAGAAGCAGCAGCAATTGCAGACGAGGCTGATAATTATCAGATCTCTGGAGAGCAGAGTCGCCAAATTAGAGGACAGTGATGCGAGTGCTCGAAATTTTGTTTCATACCGGTTCGCTTGGACTCCAGTAGCCTGCCAGGTGATGTTTTGGTGCAAACCTGGCATGTTTCAGACTACTGTGGAGAACAGTGCAGGCACGGGCACGACTCTTCGATTCAAGGCTCGCAGCACTACGGGATCTGAAAGTTTTAGGTCCGGGAGCTGTTCGCTGTTTTCTCACTTGTCACGTTGTGCACTCATTGTTGTAGCATAAAATAATAAGGCGGGACTACGTATTCCATGCGGAAAACTAAAATTGTCTTTCTCAAAGCACAACCGCCGGAATCGGCAAGGAGAAACGCATGGTCCGTAACTACATGTTCATGACTTAAATATTTACATACGACTGATACGATCGTACGAGTGTAGTACATGTACATGACAAATCCGTGTCTTGACTACCTATAGTTCTTTTGAGTCTTGTGACTCAAGTCTTGTTGTAGCTACCCCAGCACGGCAGTGCGGGAATAGTTCCGTGTGTGATGAGTTTGTTGACTACACTGGTCTACTACTATTCTGCACGCAGCGCAGAGCTAGAGGCCAGTGCGGACGAAAAAGTCCAACTCGGAAACGGCTAAAACAGGGGAAAACCTCGAGGTTTGCTGAACTGGAAACCACAGCTTACGTAGTGTTTGTAACACTGAATCGAATGGTGTTGGTCCGAAGAAGCTGCGACAAATGGTTTCCCTATCCAACGCGCTGAGAATATGGCCATTTTGTACACAACTACATCGTAGATGGCGTGGCTACCTGCCTGCACGCTGTGACGACAAATTCGCACATGTTCGATTGGGCATGTCTGACAAACCATACGCCGCAGCCTCCTCGGAGAAAGACCATTCGACTCAGCGCCCCGAACTCTACGGACTGTGAAATTTAAATTTTTCACCGGACTTCCCCATTAATTTTGCCCAATTTTCACATAAATCATGATTATATCGCACCAACCTCTTCTTCAAATCATGATTATAATTTATCTATTCTCAGGTTGGATTTTGACATCACATTATGATTCGCAAATTGATTTGTGTCTGATATGTGATAGTTACTGAAGTTCTGCATGACTGTAATCCGTACACTTGCCCATGCGCACACCTTCACAAGCAGTTACAATGATTCGAGAAAAGGAGCGAGCAGGACTGTCGCAGTTTGTTCAACACAACCATTTGATGGAAGTTAATTTCAGAGACGATAGCGTTCTGCTTGTCTGTATCAGGTTGGTGATGGCCGCGTGTCTGCAGGGTTTGCTGTTTTTCGTGGAGATGTTTTCAGGAATTACACTGGGATACAAATCTGCCGTTAGCGACCTCCACTGTAGGCGACCATCTACCGTTAGCGACTGATTTTCCGTACACCGACGGTTTCACATACAAACTGATCTGCCGAGAGCGACCATCTAAGCGACCGCCCCTTGGTGAAAGAAAAAGCGGTCTCTTACGGCAGATGGTCTCTTACGGCAGATGTATGGTAAATCCCGCATACCGGGCATGCATATATGCTTCCATGTACTCAAATCGACGAGAATAATGTGATTTTTAACATCATTTTATTGGATATTCAATAGAATATAGGGGTGCACAAACCCAAGAATAGTGCACATACCCGGGCTAATCTTGAGAGCTACAGCGCAGCCTCAGTACAGGCCAGGACCAGTCGATCGCACTTGCAAGACAGCGCATATTCACACCTTACAGTTGACAGCGCACTGGCAAGTACAGTTTCGCACCTGACTGAACCTGGGTCGCGGTCGCTTACAGCAGATTTGAATGCAGCCATCGTGCATGAAATAGCGGCCGCTGGTCGCGCACAGCAGATGGTCGCTCTGGACAGATCAGTTTGTATGTGAAACCGTCGGTGCACGGAAAATCGGTCGCTAGCGGTAGATGGTCGCCTACAGCAGAGGTCGCTAACAGCATATTTGACTGTAATTGACTCCCGCCTGGAATACGCGATCCCAGCAGTGTTGTTTCCTACTGACTGGATCATCGAAATCCAAACGCGTACCTTTTTACTACCTAAGATTAACGGGCGTGTACCCGGGTACCTGGAACACCCGTTTAACCCCTACTCAATATAATTATTAGCTTCTCAGGCTAAACAGTCCCCAAGGCACTCTCAGAGGACAGGTTGCAGTGCAGTTTAATGACAAGAACATTCTTACAGAAGTATGGAATGAAGTATGGGAATATGGAAGATGTAGAATGAAGATGAAGACAAGAGCCACTGGAGAATGCGCTCTTCTATACAGTCGACCTACCATTATAACAATATTTGCGCCAGACCAAGATAGGTTGTTTTAAGTGTTGTAGAATTCTTTATTTTCACGATAGCACAATCGCCAATAAGAGATACGTTTATGAGAAGGTCAGATGCTGTGGGTGGGGCTGTGGGTTATGCAGTTAGAAAGTGATTTACATTTCTTTGAATTTGACAAGTATGGGAGATCTGTTGCCCATCACGCCTGGAGTCCCACAGGGTCTCATCTCGGCCCCCTTCTCTTTAATCTATGCATAAAATATTTTCCTGATACCCCTGTCTCCAGTACTCTCTCATTCTTTTTGCTGACGACTCCAATTTAATTCCTGTTTGCCCGCCTAAAACGTCAGTGCCCGCTCACCGCGCCGGCTTTCAGGCTGATATTAAACAGTGCCTCAAATGGTCAACAACCACTGCCATGAAATTTCACACCAGAAAGTGTATCCATGTGTCCTTTCAGAAACATGCTATGACTCCCTGCATTTGTTCATAGCTACTTCTCTGTCTCTTACCGTGGTATTGGCTTCATTGACAAGGTTGGCCACAGATCCTCTCATTTTCCTCAGGTACGTCCGTAGATCTCCGTAGTGCATGTATTCTAGACACACCATCGGCAGGTTCTTCGCATTCGAGGCAACGGCTAGCAGTGACATCACATTCGGGTGCTTGAAGTCCTTCAGCATGACCGCCTCTTCCAAGAACTCATCGACGTCACTTTCCGTCTTGATAGCTGTACAGCCCGACCAGAACAAACACAATTTTTTTCTAGCACACCTAGCCACACACGAGCTACAGGAAATTTCGACAAAGCCATTTTAAAGATACAATTATGTAACACTTCAAAATAGGAACATAGTTCACTAGTTGGGGAAATAGAAAAGGTAAAAGTCTGAAGAAAAAATTGACTATCCCCAGCAGGATTCCAATTAGAGACTTTCGCTTGAGGCCAGCCATGCTATTGCACTGAGCTATGGAGTAGCTGTCATCCAAGCAGAGACCCTCCAACATTTTCTTTGGACTTCGAACCTCACGCTTCCTGTGAAACTACACAGGCTCATGGGACCTAACCCCCACTGCTAGGTCCCACCACCAAGCACAAACTAGTATGCGGGGAGCCCCAATGTATCCAATATTCTCAAGTTGAGTGAATGGAAAAGGGAAAAGTCCGAAGAAAAATATGACTGTCGGAACCAGGACTCGGACCAGGGACCTTGGTGATAAATGAGCCAGAGCACGCTAAAATATGACCACAGACCAAAAATTCGATTTTCGTTTTTATTCAAAAAATGATCTAACACACCCAATGTTCAATGTCTGAAAGTTTTGGATTGATCGGACATGTCTAAGTGTTGCTACAATGGTATTTTATGCAGCACTGTTGAAATGGTGAAATTTTACGTACAGCAATGGGATTGTCATTTTTGCACTCAGTTGATAAGTCCCTTGGTTCATCATTTCCGGGTTAGTTCCTCTGTCCAGGGTCCTATAGCATGAGCTGACAGGTACTCGGCCACATCCAAAATTTCTATAGGCAGCTGAGCTGGGTGTCCGAAATACCTCCTGTTTGGAGCACCACTGGAGAACCGCCAGCGAAAACACGGTCAACATCTGTAGATGGCCGAAGAAGTTGGCACTCCACGTCCTGCCCATCACACTCCACCTGTACTTTCAGATATACAGTATATACTGCTGCACACAGTCTTCCTCAACATACTTGACGTCGCACTCATATCCCCCACACCAAAGCCCATCTGCACACGTTTTTTTCCGCTCGCCAGAGAGTACTGCTTTCGCTTCCTACTGCTCGTGCTAGCGATGTTCTGCATACGGGTACTCAAATTATTGACTTGAGCAAGTTGAGGGAGCAGCAGAGTCCATTGGTTGTTTTTGCACTTGCAACCAATACTGGCATTGTCCCGGATATGTGCAGCGATGTCCATTCTGGCCAAATCATCGGCCGACTCACCTCCCAAGTCAGTGTGACACGATGCCAATCGCTTTCCAGGTTGTCATCAGAGTAGAATTCCTCGTGACTGCACATCGTGGGACTACCAGCATCAATTCTTTTACGTTCGATGAAAGTGTCGCCCTCAAATGACTCGTCGCTGTAGCCATCATTGTTTCCTTCTGTTTCCGACCCGAATCCTCAAAATATTTTATCCTGCGCATGGAGTGCGATGATGTCGTCTTCTTCCGCTCCGCAGTACATTACTACTACTAAGCTCTTCCGTCGATACATCGATGACGAGCAATTTTAGGCGACTCAGCGCAACATGGAATACAAACTCAAACAAATAAACTTACTTGCAACAAAAAAATGCATCCGGAACAGTCCAGTCGACCGAGGAGAACAACAACAGCGACTCAAATTGCACTGCACTTCGTATTTTTTGCCGCGGAATTCAAATCGCGATAATCTCGACTTTTTCAAAAAAAGCTGTGGTCATGTTTTAGCGCGTTCTGGCTTAAATTGTGATCAAAGACACATTGGGCGCTTTCGATTACACGCATTTCGGTCAATTCTAGAATTAGTTATTGTTGCTGCACAGTTCGATTACACAAAAAGTGACAAATTCCGTCGTTAGAATTGATTTTATCAAATTCCGTGGAATCCGTCAATTCTGAAGAGAGGGCGGAATTTCTCTAATTCTGGCGCCAGAATAGACCAATCCCGAAAAGATTGTCTGGGTTCGTGAAAGGGGGCACGCGTGCAAGCCAGCACGTGTGAAGTGCATCGTTTTGTATTCAGTTTGTGTGTGTCAGCTCATGGCGGAGGAGAGAGAGACTTTTGCTCGCCGAGCTGAAGCTAAAGGATTTGATGGAGTCCTGCCAGCAGCTAGTCAAAGGACCTTCGGTACCTTAGGCAGACACTGACGGAGTTTGGAGGCCAGATAGCTATCGGTGAGGAGAGAAACATTCGCGTGGCGATCGACTCTCCGTAAAAAATGCAAGCTGCATAGCGCCGACATACTGCAACAGCTACGATTTCAGCTAACTTCTCGATCTGCTGCTTCACAAAGTTCAACTATTTACTAGTCCTGACTGTTGTAGTCTGAAGCTGGAGTCTCATCGCCCACCTACAGGCAGCTTTTGGAGCTGATGGATTTCCCGACTTGGACTCCTTCCGCAAACTCTCGCAACATTACTACAGTGTATGCTGTGTTTCCGCACGCTCGTGTCGACAGGTCACCTATACTGTACATGTACCGGGTCGCGGAGGAGCTTGACGACCTCCGCTGACTCCAGGTTCCCAAATACTGCCGTCGTCTTCGTTGATGTCGCTGGTGACATTCTCCCCTTGCAGGACGTGCACATAGTTGTCGTCCCGGGGGTAAAGACTATGTTGTCTTTCGAAATAGTTCTTCATCACGCTCGCGCGAATAATGTTTCTCATCATGAACTCGTTCCGACGGTGTGACACGGCGATGGTCTTTGGCGGGGCACTGGCTTGGCGAAAACGATATCTTCTTGTGCAATATAACATTGATCGGCTGCAGATGAGTACAGTCACTTCGTGGTTGGTCCTATAGGAGGGCAGCTGCTAGGAAAGAGGCAGGACTCATCGAAGACGAAGCGCTCGAAGCGCTCGCAACAAACAATAGCACTCGAAATATCTCGTAAGATTTAGGGCCTATCGCTTTGAGCCACAGCGCTCACAGCCTTGCCTACTTCATCAAAGTGAGCTCGTTGACCTCTTCACCCTACACAGAAGAGCGAAACAAGGATTATGTCTTAGCATTTCCACTCCAACAGCAGACCATTACCAGTGCGAGAGAGAAAACTACAAAGGGCTTCGCTTTCTGTCGCATCGTCTCTCTTGCATGCAACTAACGAGAAAACCGTGTACTTACCCTCGCATTCACACGCGAACTATCAAACACGTCCTGTGCCGCATGCTGATCAGGCAGTGCCATGTATGTGTTGTACAGTGTACTCTCAGTTGACATGCCCCCTTTCGAACCCAGACAATCTTTTCGGGATTGGTCTATTGCACAGTCGGTGTGTTACCGGTCTGGTCATGACTCAAGCGCGCGAAGAGCCTCCCTGGCCACGTGCGCGCGAGGGTGTACGTGATCTCTTTTTACGATTCATCAATTTTGTTTGTGAAAGGACATGAATAAAATGCGTTGTGAATTCCAGTCGTTCGTTTACAAGGCCAGAATCCGCTCATTCTGGTCATTCCAGAATTTAAAAAAAACAGTTCCAGAATTGTGTAAACGTGTAATCGAAAGCGCCCATTGTTGATTAGTTCATCCATCAAAAATCACTACCCTCTTCCCAGCTCAAAATCCGCAAAGCGAAATGCATGTTATCAGTTTCTTTGACCACACTGAACTAAGGTATATCTTTATATTGAAATAGTACCTTTCAGTGTTTTGATGGCACATAGTACTGGTTCCTTGCCTTTGTCCAGGATAACATTGCCAATGTAGACACGTCCAAACGCCCCTGTCAACCAGATAGAGACACAACAAACATTAGAAGCAATTGAGATGCCTTGCTGTTAGGTCTACAGGCGGCGAACCATGCTGGTGGGACCGTTACTTCCTCCCTGGGGTCCGAGTTCACTCTGTGCCTGTTCTATTCTCATCTTCCCTGTCGCTATCCTCTGCACTGCTTGGATTGTCAGTGGATGTCTCCTGTGTGGTGGTTGTGGCCGTTCCGCTCTGCTTGCTCTTGCTGTTATCCCTGTTGGTGGTGCTGTTTGTGATGCTGTCGGGAGGGGGGGGGGGGGGGGGAGCGCCATGGCCGACAGTACAGAGTGGCCTAGGCCAGAAGTTAGGTGCAGTCATGATCGCCAGAGAGGCGGCGTGGCGATGGGGTGCCCATTGGGCCCGGCATTGGTAAATGTCTTCATTGAATAGTGCGAATCGAGATAAGATAAAGTAATGTGGCTGCAGTTGTACGTTCGATATGTGGATGATTCTTTACATGTTTTGAGTCCAGACGAGACAGTGAAGCCTTTTAGTTGAATTGAATGATGTCCACCCTGCACTGCATTAGGGATATGAGCACGGACACAGCGCAGGACTTTGTGCATTCAATTATGTAATCGATTTTGAACTCGGCGATGGCAGACTGAAAAAATGGCGATCGCCAAAAACTGGGTCAGAGAGTCGGTATTTGAAGACTCCCTGGTGCAGCTCGACCTTGATTTTGAAGTTCGGAATTTTTATAGAGATAAAAAGAACGACTTGGGCGAGCCCACCAAACAGCGCAGCCTGACAAACCAAGACCAGTTCGCGTACAGCTTGCCACGCGAGCCACGAAGGCCGCCCTGTACGGTAGGCGCCTCGACTTGAAGGTGGGCTCAAGGAATTTGTATGTGAGCCATGACCTGACCCGCTCACAGCAGCAAGCACGCACCAAAGTCGTCCCAGTGTACAAACGACTCCGGGCGCTCCACGTACGCTGTTCCCTACCGTATGACACCATCCTGGACCCCGAGGGCACAGCCATGGCAGACAATGAAATCACCAGGTTACTTGAACGTGAACAGCAGCAGCAGCAATAGGATCGGGCACAATCTCCACAGTCACTCAAGAAGTTACGAACCCCACGTGAGTTACCTGATGCAACATTTATCACCAATCTCCCATGCTCCACCACCCATTCCTTTTGTATTGCTCATATCAATATCTGTAGTATAAGAAACAAGCTACCAGATGTTACTAGCATTCTCCATGCACCCAACGTCCGTACAGTTGATGTTCTTGCTGTTAGTGAAACTTGGCTGGACAGTAGCATTTCAGACACCCTGTTAAATATACCTGGCTACATACTGTACCGTCATGACAGGCAAGGCACAAGAGGCGGCGGAGTTTGTTTCTTCGTTCGTGAAACCATACCTGTCTCATCCTGCATACCCAGCACAACTGTCGAGGCCCTGTTCTTAACGGTCGCAGGAAACACTGATACTTCATTGTGCATTGGTTGCGTCTGCCGCCCACCTACTGCCCCTGTATCCTTCTGGCAGAACCTAGCAGACTCGGCTGATCACGCCACCAGTAGTAGTAACGCGACCCTGTTCCTCCTTGGCGATCTTAATGTAAACATTTTGGCTCCTGAGCGGCACCCTCAACACCGCCACCTTAGTGAACTCTGTGACACACTCAGCCTCCACAATGTAGTGCTAGAACCCACTAGGACCTAATCCTTGTCTCCCAAACTCTGCCTAGTGAGGTAACACTCAAACCAGTAGCTGTCCAGTCACTAGACGGCGTTTCAGATCATTTCCTGGTGTCGCTCATCCTTGCACTCGCTGGCAGTCAACCGCACCGTGTCTTGCTCAATCACCGCAAGATTCGCTCGCCGCCGGTCAGACAACTTACTGCTGAGGAGTTTGGCCCGGACTTCCTTCAATCTCTCAGAGCCACGGACTGCAGTGACATGTCAGTAGACCAACTTAGCACTGTATGGAGCGATGCTGTTCTACAAACTGTGGATCAGCACTGCCCTCGACGTAGCGTCACCTTGTCATCTCATCCACCACCACAACCCTGGGTCACGCCTGGCCTCCAAAGTTTATATCAGCGGAAAGCGTACTTACACAGACGGTGGCTCCGGGATCGCGACAGTGACAGTGCTCGCCAATGTTTCCGAGCTGCCCGACGAGAGTGTCAAATTCTACAGCGCAGACTGCAAACTGAGTACTTCACCAACAGATTTTTCTTGAGTCGGTTCAACCCTCGAGCTCAGTGGCAGGTACTGAACCACCTCTTAGGTCGGAAGCAACAACCAACGACTCTACCTGTAGACGTTCCGGCCCTAAGTGCAGTATTTGCGGCTCAAGTTAGCGATCCTACACTGAACACTGGGTCACAGTTACCCCTAGGCCCCAGCAAAGCAACTGGATTCACTACATTTCGGCCAGTGTCCCCGACTGACGTGGAACGACGGTTATGCAAGCTAGACGAATGGAAAGCCACCGGCTCTGACGACATTCCTGCTTCACTTCTGCGTGCGTCCTCCAAGTATCTAGCTGCATCCTTGGCGGAAATCTATAACAACTCCCTTGCCACTGGCGTATTCCCCGAACAATACAAGCTTGCCCAAATCTGTCCAGTCTTCAAGAAAGGTGATAAAAACGCTCCCACAAACTATAGACCAATCTCCCTTCTTCCCATCGTTTCCAAAGTCCTAGAAAGAATCGTCTACGACCAGTTCCGGCAGTTCATGGTCTCTGCAGGTGATGTTATACCTGACGAACAGTTCGCCTATCGCTCCTGTCATTCATGCGGTGACGCACTGGCGCTATGCATTGACAGTTGGCAGCGGTCCCTGGACTCTGGCAACGTGGTTGCTGTAGCATTCCTCGACCTCAGCAAAGCCTTTGACTGTGTCCTGCATGGCGAGCTCCTTCTGGAGCTGCAGCGCTGTGGAGTAGGAGGCACTGTTCTGCAATGGTTCTCCAGCTATCTGTCCAGCCGACCACAGCAAGTGAAATGCCTCCGTCAACCACCTGGAACCCCGTACACGGCCAATCGCGGTGTCCCTCAGGGCTCTGTCCTGGGACCGGCACTGTTCACGGTGTACACCAGGCGCCTACCAGCCTGCCTACAGTCATCCCTCTGCCTCCTGTATGCAGATGACACCAACATCTACGCTGCCGACCCGTCCCCTTCCACTGCCACACAGACCTTGGAACATGATCTGACCCGTGTGAGCAGCTTTCTGGAGGCCCATGGACTACAGCTGAACCCATCCAAGACGCAATTCCTGCTGCTACGGAAACCCAATGTACATGCAGACTGTGCCCTACAGTTTTGCAACAGCCGTATACAGCAATCGCAGCAAGCCAAGTACCTGGGCATCATCATAGATGAGCATCTGTCGTTTCAACAGCAAGTAAGTAACATTAGAAGTAAAGTTAATGCCAAGGTCAATGCATTTCGCCGTTGTCGCCACCTTCTCAGTGCTAGAGCCAAGCGAACTTTCTATCTTGCATTTGTCCAATCTACCCTGGAGTACGCGAGCAATGCGTACGTGCACTGCCTGCGACAGACCACCTATAACGCTCTTATTAGCATCGCGAATCGGGCGATCCGCACTGTCTTTGGCTTCCCTCCCTCTGCCTCCATCCAACCCATCTTAGCTAGACAGCACCTAACACCGTTAAATATTCGCTATGCTGCCAACCTCTATGTGTTTCTACATAGATGCATAAATGCTCGTGCTAGTCCCCTACTTTGCCGACTTTTCACTCCTCGTGCTGTCTCATCATCCCGCACTGCTAGAATTACCCGTTCTCAGGAATTGCTCGGCCTGGTACTGCCCCATGCCAGATTGTATTTTGGCTATCACTCTGTATCTTATCTTGGAGCTGACCGATGGAACGCCCTCCCTGCCGCGATTCGCACCATATCCCTACCTGCTGCATTTCGCTCCGCTATCTTCACGTGGCTAGGGCACCCTGTAAGAAGACCATAGGTCTGTGGGGACTGCCCTAGTAAAATATGAATAAATATTAATAATAATAATAATAATTCAAAGGATCAGTCGGGGAAGTGAACAGCCTGAAAAGAGAAAAAAAATGCCAGACCCACCAGGACTCGAACCTGGGACCCTGCTTGTCATGAGCAATGCTCTAACCACTGAGCTATGGGACCAGGCTGAACCTAGAAGGCGCTGACAAGTTTTTCACTCCAAAGGCAGCTCACAACACGTGCCACACATACTGAAAAACTTGTCAGCGCCTTCTAGGTTCAGCCTGGTCCCATAGCTCAGTGGTTAGAGCATTGCTCATGACAAGCAGGGTCCCAGGTTCGAGTCCTGGTGGGTCTGGCGTTTTTTTTCTCTTTTCAGGCTGTTCACTTCCCGGACTGATCCTTTGAATTTGAAGTTCTCCCATCCTTTCCAAATAATAATAATAATAATAATAATAATAATTCAAATGATCAGTCGGGGAAGTGAACTGCCTGAAAAGAGAAAAAAACGCCAGACCCACCAGGACTCGAACCTGGGACCCTGCTTGTCATGAGCAATGCTCTAACCACTGAGCTATGGGACCAGGCTGAACCTAGAAGGCGCTGACAAATCTTTCACTCCAAAGGCAGCTCACAACACGTGCCACACATACTGATCATTTGAATTTGAAGTTCTCCCAATCCTTTCCAAATTTAATCACTTTCTTTCACCTCTGGTAGTTTCCAGAAACTGACCGTGGTTGGTCCCCTGGGGGAGGGAAAAAGACCCAAGTGCCATCAGTATGTGTGGCACGTGTTGTGAGCTGCCTTTGGAGTGAAAGATTTGTCAGCGCCTTCTAGGTTCAGCCTGGTCCCATAGCTCAGTGGTTAGAGCATTGCTCATGACAAGCAGGGTCCCAGGTTCGAGTCCTGGTGGGTCTGGCGTTTTTTTCTCTTTTCAGGCAGTTCACTTCCCCGACTGATCATTTGAATTTGAAGTTCTCCCAATCCTTTCCAAATAATAATAATAATAATAATAATAAT